GTGAGTTGTAAAGGATTTATTTTGGAAAATTGAACCACAGGGTTTTAAGTTTCCTTCCAGATTCCAAGGCAAATATAAAAGTAGTCTACATTTAATGAAGAATAAACTAATGAGTAAGGAAGAGAAACAGAAGGACTGGAATCATTTCAGTGTCCTCCTTCAGGGTGACATTTACTGAGGATTTCTAGGGTCGAGTCACTGTATGAGAGGTGTTCGCCATCATATGCCATTGCTGTGGAGTAGCGTCATCGCCATGGCTTCCAGACCTAGTTTTCTTCCCCACAGTATCAGAGAACACGTCTTGTGTTTGGGATCTTCCTACCTCTATCTCCTCTTCTTCTAAAAGCTAGATTTGGAGGAAAAGTGCTGCGGAAGCTGAGACCTGTTGGCCCCAATAGATAGGACTCTGGGAAAGGCGTCCATGTCCTCTCCGTTTATTTTTGCACACACACAAGACGAGATGATGTGGATAGATTTCCAAGTAGTTTTGAGTATTAGTTTGTAAGGCTAGTGCTTGACGTGGGACGATTTCTTGGCAGCCTAGAGTCTCCTTGTCAGTGCTATATTTCTCTCTGACTTCCTTGATGATTTTCGTCATAGGAGCAAAAGGCAGAATAGACGCCCTTGCCACAGCAGGAAGTTCAGCTTCCCTCTGACGCCCACTCTCCAGGCCTCCCCGTACATCTGTTTTGATGGGAGCCGTACCCTGAACACAAGATTTCCAGCCACAGCCTTCAGAACATATGCTTCTCCTATCCATTCCCTTTCCTTTTTTTTTTTTTTTGTGATTTTTCACCATCAAAAATCCCTTGTGCATGCTGGTGTTTGGTCGAGATATGTTTCTTGTGTTACTATTTAGTAACAATCTGTTTGGGTTCCTCTGGGCAACAATACTTTCTGTTAATTTTTATGTTCACATAATTTTATAACTTCCATATGATACTCATACGGTTTTTGACATCACTTGTGGTTTTGTATTTCTACAAATTTCAACATTTATCTTCATCCAAATAGATTTTTAGTATCTTAAGTTCAGAAAAAAATATAGAATATATTTGTGTTAACATCAACATTTCTTAAACTTCAGCATTATTTTACTTGAACACGTTGGCTATTAAATAGAGAAAAAAAACCGAAAATCTCATCCATAAATTTACAAACAAGGACAGAGTCCAAATGAATCATTAGAGTTGAGACATGGAACAAGGAGTCTTGTTCTGGCTACCTAGTGTCTCACAAATTGAGAATCATGGAGGGATGTTAGATTTGAAGGTATGGAACCCAACGTCTGGACTGAGGGGACTTCATACTGTATGAGACAAGAAGCATTTCTCCAGGACTAATGAGATCAGATAGTGAGGCGAGACAGCTACATAATGAGGGAAAAACACATCCGCCACAATCCTCTGTGCTGGAGTTGAGTCTGAGGGCAATGAATGCATTTCTAGGTTTTAAGTCTGTTAGCGCTACTCAGCGTCCCCCTGCAGAGAGAGTCTGGTATTGGGCTGAGATCCAGTCCTTTTTATCTCATGGTTGTTCAGTGGTAAGATCAGCCTTTTGTTAATTTCTAGGCACCTTTTCAAGAAGTTAACTCTGATGTTTTTCTCTCAATTTGGGCTGCATATGAATGTACTGATGTTTTGTTTTGTTGCTTTTGGAGACAGGGTTTCTCTGCGTAACAGCCCTGGCTCTCCTGGAACTGTTAGGGTCTAACAGAAGCCCCCAAAAGAGGGCCAACAGTCACATATACAATATCAAGAGTACTTTATTAATTCCAGTGTTGGGGTGGCACTTGGCAATCTCCAAAGAAGGTCACAAACTCCTTTGAAATGAAGTTAGGGGAATTCCAGAGAGGAGGGGTTAATCTGGGGCTGATTGGTGGAGGAGAGAATAGTCTGGGGGCTGATTGGTGGAGGAAAGAATAGGCTAAGGGCTGATTGGTGGCGGTCCTAGTGGTTAGGGATCTTCTAGCAGCAGGGTATGGAAAGCTTTTTTTTTTTTTTTTTTTTTTTTTTTTGAAGGGTTTTTAAGCCTCAAAGCCCGGCCCTAGTGACAGACTTCCTCCAACAAGACCAGAACTCCCAGAACTCCTTTTCTTTCTTATTTTTTTTTTTTTTTTTTTTTTTTTTTTTTTTTTTTTTTTTTTTTTTTGTTATCAGGAGACTAGGGGGCAGCTGCTGTGTCAGAAAAAAAAAAAAAAAACGGGTCTTGGTGTGCCTGCTGAGCTAACCAAAGGGCATGGTTTTTCTGAGGACTGTCTGTTTGGCTCTGTCCCATTTTAGTAAACTGAAACTAAGGCTTAGAATTCTGTCAGGCCACTGGTGTGTCCCCTACCCCTGACTCTAACTCTCTCAGAACTAGCTCTTGTAGACCAGGCTGGGCTGAAACTCACAAAGATACTCCTGTCTGCCACTCATGCACCACCACCTCCTGACCCTATTATTTTAGTTATTGTCTGAGGTCCCACAGTGCTGTAGACAGTGCCCTATTGTCCACTCAGGTGGTAGTCTGGTGAGCCCGGCTCTGCTACAGTTCCAATATGTAGGTTTAAATTAAGTCTCTATTGTTCTAATTATCAATAAGACTTGGGGGTAAAAAACCTGGGGTGAAAACCTGCTAGATCAAAGAGGTTGAATAGCAGCTAGCTGATTTTCATTCTCTTTTTGCTGGTATCTCCAAAAGAGCATACTTCTGTTCTATCAAAACAAAAGAGCCCAAGTCCCTTCCCATTACTTCCCGTGTTTCTCTCTATTGGTCTTCCAGGCTCCCTCTGACTCTCTTTGATTACTTTCTGTCAATTAGTTGCTAACTCAGCCTCCTGACCCATGGTTGATTTTATTTGATTAATGCAAACACAAAGTTGACATTCACAGTGCGATTGGATATTCCACAACACAACTCCCTTTCTAGTTTCCAGAGCATGAGGATTAGGTTCTCAAGGATGCAGCTTCTGTCACATGCATTATGTTAGCCATAAGAAAATGCAGAAGTTTGCTTTTACTTCTTTTGCTTGTAAAATTCAGTCTTATATAAGGTTAAGTTTAATTGTTATAGATGGAAGGCACATGGGTATGTGTTTAGAAAACTGTTAAGAAAATTAGATGACAATTAGAAAATTACTGGAAATAAATTACTGGTAGAATTTGAACTTGTAAAAATTAGTCTCTAGGGTGCTAGAAGCAAACTGAATATGTCCTAAAGTGCATTTATATATTTTGCTTAATTTTCACTTCAATAGTGCTTCTTTTAAGACTTTAAAAAAATATATTTAAGCTCCCTGAAATGTCCTCAGTTTTATCCTCAAGGACGTGGACATAAAATTCTGGGAAATGAAGAGATCATACACAGACAACTCTTTTGTTCGCGTGCCTAAAAAACCCACAGTAGTCCTCTAATAAAATTCTGGTATTAGCTCTGACCATTTCCCAACACAGGTACATTAAAAACCACAGCTCATAGCTGGAAGCTAAACTACCTTTGAGAACATCATGCAGAGCAGAGTCCTGACTACAGAACTTTCTCTTCATCTACTCTTTCTGTGTAGTCAGGACAAAGGAAAAGAGAAAAGGCGGGCAGAAAGGCTACCAACCAACAGGGACTTTCAGAATAACAGTTTAGAGGGGAATTCACTATCAGTTTGAATAGTCTTTCCCTGATTAGAGTGGATTAAACATTGCTAACTGAGTATTGCTATTATGTTTTAAAAGATCCTGGTTAAAGGTAAACTCCTAAACTTGGCTGAGAAATCAGGCTAAACAAGTGAGTTTGGTGTCTTGAGTCCGTGGCTTAGCATGTGGTGATTATACCTCGGAAGTCCTATTTGGGTGTAAGGTGTTCCTGCTTAATTAAGCCAGCAAGGTCGGACATGCAAGACCTCACTGAGCCAGAAAAATAAGAGCTTACTTTTCCTCATGTGAGCCCACCACCACCTTTCCATGCTTGTAAATAATATTAATTATTTAAAAGTTATCTTCTTCCTTTCCTCATGGTTCCCAGGTGAGATTTAAGTTTCTCAGATGTCTGACTCTTGTTTCAGGTCTAGTCTTTATTTTTATGCAAAATGATCACTTTTGTGGGCCCTATTACAGTCAGGATCGTACCTTGCTATGCTATGGTAATAAATTTAGTTATGCACAGTTATGTTATTTTCTCAGAAAAAATAACACGTTCTTATAAGTTGAATTAGCTTATCAAATGATCTGAGCATAAATTTATAAGCAAAATGTACTTAGCTATAATAAAACTTCCCTGAAGTAGTGATCTTAAAAGCCACATTCTCTAACGACTGTGAAATAAAACTATATATTCGCAATACCAGGAACAACGAAAACTTCGAAATATTTTTTTAATTTAAAGAAAATCTGATTAAAAAACTTAGAAATCTCTGAAATGAATTTTATTACATAATACCACTGAAATACTATTTTTCAACTATTTTATTATTTAGGAAATAAAAGGATAAAAGAGAATAAAGTTTCTTTAAATGAGAAGGAACATGATACAGATTATAGCTCCAAATAAGAAAATCATATTATGACTAATCTAAAAGTTGGCTATTTGAAAATAAAGCAAGAAAGATATTAGACAACATGAGAAATACACATTCAGCAGCAGAAATAAGAACTAATGTAGACAAACATATTTACTAGAAAGAATGACATACTGACATGGATATCTTCATAAATATCTGCCAATGCACTTCTAAATCCAAAGGACCCAAACTATCCATACACTGTTCAAATAAATCCAATATAAATCTAACACTAAAATATTATATACAAATAGAATAATTGATAATTCTGTAGAACGTACATTATAAATCTGTGGCACTATGTGGCTTCATTGGCAAATATTTTTTTTTAGCTGGGAATGAGTGGACTGTTTGCTGTGAAGCTGACACCAGCAAACCAGAATCACAGCACATTTATTTTCTGCCGTGAACAGAAGGGCACTGCTACTCATGGTAGGGGTGGGTGTCTGTGGGGAGCAGTCTAAACGTTCTATAATCCAAAGGATTGCAACCATAGCTCATAAAAGTATTCCCTCGGAATCATGGGGCAACGTGGCGCCGCAGCATTTCCCCAGCAATGGCTGCCCTTCAGGTCATAGGCATAGCGCACAAAACATGTAGTGCAGATGGCTGATTGAAAAGAGACTGCCTTGAGCTGTCTTTCGGACCTGAGTATATCCAGAAGCTCAGGACCAAGTTCATCAAATCTGTGTACAAGCACTCGGCATCCATCATAGTACTCCAGAGGGACAGGGTATGTCTCTTCGGTTAGCTTGTTTAGCTTGGCTGTGTGGTGAAGCAGTTGCTTCAGGACAGGTAGAGACAGGTCATTCATGTACAAATTGATCTTGAGAAGCTGGGAGCATTGACTGAGGGCAGGCATCAAAGCACTAAATTGAGAATCCTCCAGCCGACATCCAGCCAGGTCAAGAGTTTCTAAGGTGTCTTTCACTCTCTCAAGGAGATAGCCAAGTGGCTTAATACTCCTGCCCAACATTGTGTGAGACAGGTCGAGATGTTTAAGTGCAGAAATGTTCAGGCATTGGGGCAGGTAATCCAAGTCTCTCTGTATGAGGTAAGAGAGAGTGATGGACAGGGTCTCCAAGGGCTTCTTCAGGCACTTGCGAGTAAGGACACATCTCCACTGTCTTCTCTCTCGTGATCTGATAAAAGAGTTCCCTTTCACAGGATTGACTCCGATTGACACAGGAATCCCTATTTGTCAAATCCAGCACTCTGATTTTCCCGCGGCTGGGGCAAGGCTCCTCTGTAATCAGCACATCTAGTCCATCAAGAAGAGCTTTCAAAGTCTCCAGGTGTGGGGTCTTCATCAGGACTCCTACAGGAAGGCATGTGAATGGCCAGGCAGGCACCATGGCCCTCAGGATGTTGGTCTGATTGTTCCTGAAGGCCCTCTCAAATTCTGCTGGGAACAGGAACCAGGGCCAGTCTGCAAAACCAGAAATGGCCAAGGCCTCCTTCTTCAGTAGGGTCTCGAGCGCTAGCTGCTCGAGTGTTGGTGGGGCTTGATCGCTCATTGTGACTGGTTTCAGGAATAATGATCCTGAGTTGGATACTGGTGATAGGCCTCCAAATCCAGGCAGGGAAATGTTTTGAGTGCAGGTTTCAGAGACTCTGTCTTCATTGGCAAATATTAACATGTAAGTAACAAATTGTTGCTATTTTTTTTTACCATGATGACAGAAAAGTCCATTTCAATTGAAGGATTTTTAATAAAGAAACACGCAATGATTACATATAAGTGTAAAGATAAAAATTATGTATCAGCATAAACACATCTAATGTAGGAAAGATTGTCCATGTATTTAACAATAATTTATGAAGATAAAGTGAGGATCATTCATGAGAGCTCGTAAGGCTCAATTTTAGTTCATTATCAAATAATCACTTTATTGACAATTTAAGTAGACAATTGTAGGTAATATATATTGTGGGGCTTCTCTTCCCCTCTCAGCCTGTGGTCTTCAGAGGGTAAAGAGGCAGAATAGGAGACAGAAAACTTTGTACATGGCCCATGAACATGGATGGAGATGGCCCTTCCTCCAGGAGGTAGATTTTGGTGAATCAATTCAGTTTTATTTCAGAGTATAAGGAATATGTAGGAACGGGGAGCCTGAGAACAAATGCTAATTTTCAGTGAGAGGCCTGCTCCTATCATGAGGTTCCTAAAATAAGTCTTAGTTATCATGTGTGTAGTAAGGGAGCCTTCTAGCATCAGGGTTCAAGCTAAAGATAAATCAGGCACCTAGTTTAGATAAGGGCAATTCTACAGGCCAAGGAACATTCTCTAGATGAGGTAGGCACGTAACAGGAGGAAAAGAGACTGGAGAGAAGGAACTCCACGCTGCTGAGCAATGGAGCTAAGTTGCCTGGCAATAGGGAGTCTGTGACCTCTACTGGTCAGCAAAAATCTTCAAATAATCTATCAGTAGATATTAAAAAATATAAATTACTGGTGGTGAGCTACACGAACTAAACAGGAAGAAACAGTAGTAACTATATACAGAGAACGGGAGATGAAGCATGAGATTCTAGGCAATAAACGTAAAGAAAGAGGTCAAGCTATACACCAGGACTGGGCAGAGGAAACTTAAAGAACCTATGGACAGCAGGCTGGATTTACTGAATAAATGGAAGTTTATGGAAGCTTCAGATAAACAGTTGATCACTCTTTGAGATTGTGATTCTAATATCTTCTACCTGATTACTTACATAGAAGAGTGATTTGCTGTTTTGGAAACAATTGCTTGAGCCCTTTGGACAATGTAAGGAACTACAATGAATAACTGTCAGGAGTTTTGCTGAGTCATAGGTGAAATTAAGGTGTTTCTGAGGGATGTAAAACAAAGAGGACTTTCCAGTACATAAGGAATTGGAAAGAATAGTACTTGGTGAAGGACCTGATGCAGAGAATTTTTTAAGCCAAGAACTATGAAATTTCTCTTAATTTATAATTCAAAGGATGCACACTGATCATTCTTTTTGGTGCTTGGTTGTTTCAGTTAGGCTAGTTTCATGAATTTGTCTAACATTTATTATCTATTTATCTGTCTATATATAATCTATCATCATATCATTTATCTATCATCTATCTATCTATCTATCTATCTATCTATCTATCTATCTATCATCTATCTATCTATCTATCTATCTATCTATCTATCATTTCTAAAAAAACATGCTTCAAAGACAATATTTTATACTTTTATTGCGGCAAATATTTGTTGCACCAAAATAGGGAAACAAAGCCTTTAATTACAGGAGACTAAAGGAAAGGAGGCCTTTGGTGATGTCCCTACTTCTTCTCAGGTAGACTGCAGATGCTCATAGTGGCCATAGTCTTATAGTGTGTAAAACTTGATTTCATCATGTCTGCTGTACAGACTGTTGTTGAGTCTGCAAACATGGGCTTTTCTAGTATCTCTGTGTTGTAATAGGAGCGGCAGGGCTACGTCCCCGGCACCCCTGCCGCCAGCTAGCTTATACCCCGAAATAACAACACACAAATTGTATTCATTTAAACACTGCTTGGCCCATTAGCTCTAGCCCTTACTGGCTAATTCTGATATCCCAATCAACCCATCTCTAATAAACTGTGTAGGACCGGTCTTACCAGGAAAGATTCAGCATGTCTGACCTGGCGGCTTGCTTCATCACATGCATCTGCCCAGGAAAGGGAAGCATGGCCTCTGTCTGAGGCGACTTCCCCAGAGAGGAGAGCTATCCATTACATCTCTGAGCCTACTGATCAATGCCAATACTCATATTTAGGGGTACCACATCTAGAGGTTATAGATTCAGGTGTTTCCACTCTGGAACAAATATTTCTAATTTGATATGCTTCCTGGTAAAAGGAATTTGAGATAGAAACTTTCATACCTCTCTTTATTGGAACCCTAAATTGGATTCTAGCTAGTAATATAAACTGAGGTATACTTAGATCTTCCAAAGCTAGGGTTTTACCATTTTCGTCCTTTGCTTTCCTGATGCCCCATTGAAGACACTCCTCCTCCTCTGGAATTCCAAGGACTTCCAGTAGTCCCATTCAGTTTTCATGGGTCCATTGATGGTCTTAGAGTAATCTTTATACTAATCTGTGGCACTGGATGTGCCCCAAAGTAAAGACTTTTGTTCATGTGCCTGCTAACTTGATTTAAATTATGAAAAATGGTGAATTACAAGGCTGGAGAGAGGGTTGAGTGCTAAAATTCCACAATGCTTTTACCGAGTATCCAACTTGGATCCCAGCATCCAGGCTGAATACTTCACAATGACCTGTGACTCTGACTACAGGGAATCCATAGCCTGTTTTGGAATTCACAGGGGATACAGCAGTGTAAAATGTAAAGTGGATTGACTCACTTCTGGCTTGTGAATTGATTGTAACAACCCAGACCTGATCAGATACAAGTTTTAACCACAAGAGACAAAACTGTCTCTCACCCTCATGACATTGTAACCACACGTTCTGCCAATTGGATACATTGTTTTACCTGTAGGTGTGTCTAATTAGAAAAGTTCCTTTGCAGCTTGCAGAAGTGCTTAAGCTTCTCACCATAAAGATATAGATCAAAAAGGTAATCACTACCTGTGGGAGAGATGGGAGACAGAAGGGGAAAGAGGCAAAGAACAAATTGATAACTATTGTAACCATTTTTTAGAAGTGATAACTGATTGTAACTTTGCATTCAAATATTTGAAGCTGCATAAATAAAGATAGTCTAAGCTATTTGGGGCTGCCCGTTTGAACAGCAGCAAGAGGTCACATTCATTTTGGCACTGACTCCACACATCTATCCCAGGTCCTGGAAGCCCTCTGGAGCAAGGTTTCCAGCATGATTTCATGACCACAGCATTACTGTACTGTCATACACTTGCACACATAATTAAAAATAAAATAGTAACAATATAGTAAGATGACAAATTGGAGTGATTATTTGGTGTGGGATTCCTCTCTGTATGCTGTGAAAACCATTGGTTAATAAAGAACTGCCGTGGGCTTGCACATGGACAGAAAAGAGGTAGGCGAGGAAAACTAAACTGAATTCTGGGAGAAGGAAGGCAGAGTCACGGGACTCCATGGAGCCACCAGAGAAGAAAGATTCAAGCTGCCAGCTAGAACCTTGCTGGTAGGCCACAAGCCCCATAGTAAAACATAAAATAATAGAAATGGGTTAATTTAATGTGTCAGAGCTTGCTAGAAATATGCTATAGTGATTGGCCACGTAGTGATTTTAAATAATACAGTTATTTGGGGAGTCTGCACAGCTGGGAAATGAACAAGCAGCCTCCTACCATAATTATTATAGGAGCTGTGTCTGTATCAGCAGTCAGGTAGATTTGCTTGTTTGTCATAGCAATTTTTTATAATAGATATGTATATTACATCACATATTAAAACTCGGTTTAGGGTTAAAGTCATATTTGGAATTTTACATCTAACTACATGTTTTAAAAGTTTTCCTCAGTACTTGAACAATGGTTCAGTGGTTAAAAACACTTGGCTCTTTGAGAGGACTTGACTTCTATTCTTAGTGCACACATGGCATCTCATAACAAACTATGAATCAAGTTCCAGAGAATCTAGTGCCTCTTCTGGCTTCTGCAGGCATGTAGCATGGAGATGATACATGCACGCATACAGGGCTCACACAAACACACAGGTTAAAAAATAAATCTCTCTATTTTGTTAAGATGGGATCTTATTATGTAGTCCTGAGTGGCCTGAAACACGATGTGTAAACCAGCGTTGCCTCAAACTCACAGAGCTCTGTTTGTCTGTCTCCCAGGTGCTAGAAGAGGTTGAAGGCATATGTCACTATACCATATAAACAAATCTTTAAAAAATAAAAATCTTCCTTGTAGTGTTAATATGGAAAAACATAAGTAAGTTTTTTTTTATCAACTTTTAGCTACTACAGTAAGTTTTATGAATATGCATTTTTTATTTTAATTAGCATAGGACATACATCACACAGAGGTATAATTCTTTTTAAATTAGTGTTTATTAGTTGAGAACTTCATACAATATATTTTGATTATATTCTCCAACATATCAACTTCCCCCATAATAACCATCTCCACCCTAATTCCTTCCTACCCAAAAATGATTTTCTATTTCTTTTCTCATTGGATCCAGTTTGTGTTGCCCAGCTTGGCTCGGAAGTAGAACCTGTCCTGGATATATTTGCCTGCCAAAGACCACAGCATTAAAAAAAAAAAAAAAAACTGAATCTCCTCTCTCTCTCTCTCTCTCTCTCTCTCTCTCTCTCTCTCTCTCTTCTTATCCATCTCCCTCATCTTCTTCCTCTGCTGGCTTCTCCCTCTGCTGGGGTTTTGCCTGACTCAAATGTGTTCAGATCTTGTGTATACTATCACGGTTGCTGTGAGTTCATATGTTCAACTGCCATGTGGTGTGCGAGAAACACGGTTTCCTTCATTATGTAGGTGAACCCTGCCTCTTACAGTCTTTTCATGCTCTCTTCTGTGAATACTCCTCAGTCTCCGGGGTAGGTGT